CCCCCCCCATGTATTTCTTCCTGTCTGCCGGGTTGCTGTGTAACACACTCAGCCTGGTAAGCTCACACAGGCAGGGTCTGAGAAGCCAGCCTCCTAAATATTCTGAGATACATCGATGCTATATATCCCCCCCACCCCACACACACACGCACGCCGTCTTCGTTGTCCCTTATTTTTCTTTGTTTCCCCTTTTCTAATTGCGGGAAAGAAGAATGAGCATTTTCTGCCCGAACAAGGCATAGCACAACAATGACAGAAGTACGCGTGTACAAATAATACAGCATAGATTGGAATCTACTTTACTTTTACTTTTCCGATCCAGCGGCCATTTGGGTTCTAGCCCTTCGGTCTGTCGATATGGCATGGCAAAGAATTAGAATCTTGAATCTACATGCAAGCATTGGAATATGAGATGGGTTTGTGAGAGAAGAATCAGCGTGTGGAGAGTGGAATGGGGTGAAGAAAGAAGGGATATTTTTTGTGTGTATGGGGAGGGGGGAGTATTGGTTTTTGTTTTCCCCATTCTCGGAGGGTCAAGTGAGAAGATGTTTTTTGCTTTGGGCTCTCTCGAGTACTCTCAAAGAGTTACGAAGCGACGCTTGTACTTGTTGTGTACTTTGCACTCTGTGTCTCCGTATTCCTGTACGGAGTCTGTAAAAGCTGTCGATCAAGCGTGGAATTTCCGGAGCTCCTCCCCCTCGTTTTCACTCTCGGTTTTGAAGTTTGCCTCCCCTCGGCGGCTGTATGATCAAGCCAGACTTGCTGAGGGCGGAGCTCGCTATGCAAATGAGCGCTACGCTCGCTCGCGTGGTCCTGGTCTGTTTTCGAGGGTAGCGGCGCGTGGTGAAAACCGCGATCATTTTTATCCCTGGAACGAGCGCGGCTTGAGTCTGAGGTGGCCACTTGTCTTGCCGGCTGGCTGTTTATTTGATCAAGTAGCTCGTTGTCTCCTTCCAGTGTATACTCCGGTCGCTTTGGACCAGTTTGGAATGAGTCTGTGTATCTTGTAGCTGATGTTGCGAGCAGAATTGTTCCTCCTAATCTTTCTTCACTACTTTTCAAAATTCATCTTCGGACGACGTGCTTTATGAAATCAACGTTTGTAAAGAGTAGTTTATTATGATAAATGATTGTTGATGAAATCTGATGTAGATCTAGATCTACATGCTTGACGGATTGTGTTATGATCGAAGCTGGGTTTTTGTGAGTGTTGATAGTGTTGTGGATTTTGTGTTCGTGTTTGCTGAAAGAACAAGCTGTTTGTGACAGTTCTCATCATTTTTGTGGACGCTCCAGTATATTTCACGAACTGTTCAAATTCTTTGGACTTCAGGAAGACGGATATAGATCTAGCTATTTTTGTGGTGAACGAAATTGAATGAGACCCAGGAATGTGTTGATCATTTGGGATATTATGATGCCTTCTATCTTGGGGCACTCTACAAAGAGCACTGAGAGTTTACCATTCACGGACGTGTTTGTAGCTTGTTATATTGCTGGTGATTAGGAGTGACATTTCGCTCATCATTTTTACATCATAATTAGTCATAATACAAGGAACAAGGGATATAAAGATAAACTACTGAACCAAAGTTTGAACGAATTATATCAGCTGTTGGAAGTACACGCCAAAATAAACTTTATAAACATTGATGGTTATATTGACGATTCCATTCATGCGCAGCGAAGTTATGCAATTGTTTGGGAGTCAGGCTGCTTCATCTACCACCAGCGACACTCTCCCCGTGGTCAGTCGTACTTTCTGTGATAACGAAGGCGTGATGGAAGGGAAAACTCCCTGCTGTGGGCATGTGATGATGAGTACAGAAGATTGTGTTGGTGGTGCCTGCTCTCTCCCGCCGTGCGGTGCCGGGTGCGAGTGTGAACAGTGTTGTGGTGTTGTGGTCAGCCCGGACCAGGGACGTGTGAGTGCCCTAAAGGCCAAGTGGTTCCGCTGGTCCCCCCGATTGCGTCTGTGTCATGCCTGGATTCTCGTGCACCTGGGCGTGCACCGTGATGCACCCGTGCGCTTCCGGGGTCGGATCCTGAAAGCTGCAGGTAGTACTTTATATTATATAGATCTATACTCATAATTTTTTACGGTGTGAATCTGGTATTTTTTTACTTTCCCTCCCGTCTCACACTCAGCTACCAGTTGTCTATTTTCTACTAAATATTGATGCGCTGAACACGAATATCAACTTCATTTATTATTATTGGTGTTTGAAAACAGAAACGTCAGATATCTGCCCCTCAAAGAATCTAGATATGTAATCTTTACTGTTTCCGTGCAGACGCAAACGCTGGTAAATATAGTACAAAAATGTACCTCTAAACTACGGTCTCTTACAGCCTTAGCCTTAGCATAGGCATAGTAATTACTGATCCCGAGAACTTACTGTGGCCTGTGGTTACTCGTATTACCCGTGGTTTACTTGTATTGACGACTCTATTTACAACCATCCCCTACTTTACCCCAGTCAAAGTACACATCCTCTTTTCT